AGAGAGAGAGAGAGAGAGAGAGAGAGAGAGAGAGAGAGAGAGAGAGAGAGAGAGAGAGAGACTTCAGGGGGGAGTCAGATTGCTGTCAAGGGAAAACAGCAGAGGCAAAGAATGGGCAAATTAAGTTGCAGAAGGATCCGGTACCCAAGACCTCCTAAAAATAACAGAGCAGGACCTCAGCCTGACACCATAAAACATGTAACTGCAGTTATTGTTTGAGAGAGAGAGAGAGAGAGAGAGAGAGAGAGAGTGAGTCCCTATTTTTTGTGGGGGGGGGCATAAGTTGAGACATATGTCAAAATGTCCCTTAAGAGATATGGGCACAGTGGAATGCCCAAGCGTTTTGGAGTTGCGCCTATGAAAACTTGGCGACTGCCGGGGCATTTTGCAAAGTTGGGCAGCGTCCGGTATGGGTACATTACAAAGATGGAGTCCAGCTGATGGCTCATCATCCTTTGCCGCAGCTACGTTATGGAATAAAGTTCAATAACCCGAATACAACGTACGGTCATCTTAGCTGTATTTTGGGTATAATTCAGTCTAAATACAGCTATATAATGACTGTACATTGTTTTGGGGGGAAGAAGGTAGCCACCGATGTACATCGCCGCAGTTCCAGGCAATGTACATTGCCGCAGTTCCAGGCAATGTACATCGCCGCAGTTCCAGGCAATGTATAATGTACATCGCCGCAGTTCCAGGCAATGTACAATGCTGCACATCACGGCTATGTACATTGCCGCAGTTCCAGGAAATGTAAAATGCCACAGATCCAGGCAAATGTACAATGCCACAGATCCAGGCAATGTACACTGCCACAGATCCAGGCAATGTACAATGCCGCAAATCCAGGCAAATGTACAATGCCATAGATCCAGCCAATGTACACTGCCGCAATGCACAATGCTCCTCCCACCGATGTTTGAATCGCAAATGGAATGGACGATGCTGATGGCAACCAGGCGGTATGTTTTTCACCAGACCCTTCTCCCTAGTACGGCCTTCCTCCTCCTCCCAGGATCTCCCTTCCACAGGCGCCCAGCTCAAGCTATCGGTGGGATGGCACTTCCCCGCCTTGGCTCTCGGTCACCGGCCCGCACTCACGCTGCTTCTCAAGTGCATGTGCATTCAAGCAGCCTTGCGGAAGAAGTCTGCCTGCCCCCAGGATGCCTTCTGCAGTCGCAACCTCTTCGTTAACGTCAAGGCCGGGATCCAGACAGGCTGGTAGCCACTGCCGGGACCCCTGTACCTTCCGGAAGCCACTGCCTGCCTGTCGGTATCCCAACCACCTGGCAAGCACCTCAACACATTATGCCCCGAATCGTCTGACCCTGCCAGTTTCCAAAACTTGGCTCGTCCTTCTGGGACGTTCATTAAAATTGGAACAATACACAGAAGATTAGCATGGCCTCCGAGCACGGATGACACACATAAATCGAGAAATGGTCCAAATTTTCTAAGGCAAAAAAAAAAAAAAAAAAAAAAGTTGGCTGGGCCTCATATTCTCCAGGGGCCAGGTCTTCATTTGCGGCCCTACCCCTCTCGCATAGGGCCGGGCCTTCAATTACGCCCCCCCCCCCGTCCCAATTATACACTCAGGAGGGGTCCTTGTGGCCTCACACTTTCATTTTTCCACCATTTTGTCTGAAATAGATATAGCCTCTCCTGTCCCGTTATGGAATCATACAAACTCGAACTCTCGGCCTGCGGAAAGACAATTACCAGCACCTCCCCTACGTCCGTTCGCGCTGTTTTTTGTCTGAAAAAAAAAAAGACAATTCCACATGTGTATATAGATCCAGAAATTGTTCAAAATTGGAGCTGAGTACAAAAACAGAAACCAAACTTGAACTCTTGACCTGCGGCTCGACAATTCTACATGTGTACAGCATCTACAGATCCAGAAATTGTTCAAAATTGGAGCTGATTACCAGACTGCAATGTCCAATACCGCTCCTCCCCATTCCCCCAACCTACCCACCCACCCCCCCAAAAAAAATGCAGTATCGGCCAAAACCCACCTTCGCCTGCAGTTCCTTCCAGAGTTTTTCTGCCTGCTCCGTTAACTCTGACGCGCCATCATCAGCCTGCGCCCTGACGAGCACAGCCCTCCTCTGCTGCTGCCTTAAAGACTCTGCAAAGGTGCATATAAGAGTACACAATCATGTCGCAAAAGGATTAAGAAAAGGATAATGTTTGTTTATTTCTTTAGACAAAATCATTGAAAAATGTGCGGGGTGCACTGCGGTCTCATCAGGAGGCTAACCACAATCCCCAGCGCCTTACAGCCCACCTGCACTCTGCCACCCTACGAGCGAATGAGGGCCGATGTGGCCTTGCCTTCATTTTATGCTGTCGACCTTCCCTTGCACGCCCCCTGCCCTTCTTTCTGCTAGGCTCTGATTGGCCCAAAAAAAGAAAATGATTCATAAATCAACATCAACAAATCCTTTTCGGGTTAAAAAATAAAAATAAAATAAAAATTCATTTCCAGCACAACCATGACCCTTCTGTGGATCGTGGCCTCCGTGTTGTGGACCTAAACTTTGGTCCCGCCCCCCACTAACCCCTTTGCAACGGGGGTACACAGGGGGGGTTCTTGGGGGGGAGGGTAAGCAGTGAAAGGAGATACGAGAAGGGGGTGCAAGGGAGTTAAGAAGGGGGAAAGGGAAGGGAAGGGGCCAGCAAGGGGTTTTGCCAGGGGGTTACCGTGGGGAGTGCAAGGGGGTTGCCGGAAGAGGGGGTGCAAGGGGGTTGTTCATGCTTCATTTATCACTATGGCCATAGCCTCGTGGGCAGGGACCACCATGCTTGCACTGGCAGCTGCATGTCTTCCCCCAGACAGACCACAGGGTCCATTATAGCTGTATTTGGGCCAACTTTCAATCTAGATACAGCAATAATGACCCTACACTTGTTGTATTTGTGGGAAGACGGGTAGGCGCTGCCTGGTGGTTCAAGCCAAGACCCGGCCAAAAGGTCAGCAGCAGCTGATGCAATGGCCGTAGTGATAAATCACGAACCTGGTCCTAAAAGTGGTCGAGTTCACGACTCCTGGCTTATCAGGAACACTGGCCGCTCGGCTGGGGGCTGGACCCCCCCTAATATTATTACCATGCAGATCCTGGGGCCTCATTTTCCAAGGGGTGAAACATTTGCACATATGTTTCTTTGTTTTGGCAGGAAAAGAAGATATGTGAGGGCCACTGAAGAAACGCTTTTTTTTTTTTTTTTTAATGTGAGGGGGCCATGTGAGGGCCACTGAAGAAACCTATTGCAGCAAACAGACCTTCAACACTGTACCTGAGTTTCAAGGAAGCCCAGATCCATGATCTGCACCTGGCTGTCAGTTTCTACTCTCCTCTGTTTTCTCTTTTTCCATTCATTAGTGATTGCTTTCTTTTCTCTAATTACGGTCTGATGTCCTTAGAAAAAAAAACAAAAAACAAAAAAACAAAGAAAGGGTCTGATCCCACTTCTTATAGGCGAGGCACTCTTCTGTAACTTTTGGGATCCCACTTCTTTCCCTTCCTGATGGGTTTTTTTTTTTTTTTTTTTTTTTTTCAAGTTGCAGAGTCCTTATTCCATCACGGTTTATTAGATTTAATTGTTCCTCGTGCTATTCTAAGGAGGTGGCCCTGTTTTTTTGAAGACGTGGAAACAGAAACAGCGTAGTGTGTGGCAGTGCGAGCACGATTGGAGGACCACCGGTAGTTCTTTCGTGGCAGTGCGAGTGCGAGAAATCAAAAGATGCCACACCCCCGTACCCTACATCGTGAAAGAAGGTGCCCCTGTTTTGTCTCATTTTTTTTTTCCTGATGTGCCGACCGTTGGATCCTGGAGTGCCACAAGATAGCACCGCCCAGTTAGGAGAAGTCCCGCAGAAGTAGTACCGGTGGTGCCACAAGATAGGCATGCGGGGTCGCGTTTTTCGCTTTTACGTTTCGTGCGCTGCGCCTCCACCGTTGGTGGCACTTTCACATTCTTTCGAAACAGAAAAGAGGTGGAATCAGACGCTTAGTTATTGGTGTTCCATCAAACCCCCTCCCCCACCCCAAATCCCCCTCTCTCAAGCGGATAACATACCCCCTTGCCTGAAAAACGGGTGCTCGGTTAACCTGCTCTCACTGGGGGGAGAGCACGTTGATGGAACGGTACCGTCTTCCCCTGAATAGATGTACATATTGTCATTATCACTGTATTTAGACTGGAAGTCACTGCAAATACATACAGCAAACACTACCGTGCCTTCTCAAGCGGGTATGTTATCCGGCGCTGCAGAGACGAAGTTGCAACAGCTGCAGAGTCTTCTTCGTCTCTCACAGTCGAGAGCAGGTTAACCGAGCACCCATTTTTCAGGCCCATTTATAAGAAAACCAGACAGTCATTTTAATAACACTTCACACCAATCTATAGAGTGCACTTCTTACAACCCCATCACAGAAAAAAAACCCTAAAAAAAACAATTAAAAACATATAAAACAGCAAGCCAAAGGTGCATTTCCATGAAATTTGGACACGAGGTTAACGGGGCATCTGGTTTTCAGGCTCGACCAATTTCAGAAATTTCAGAAATCTTAATAGCGCAAATTCTAAAACTCCAAATAACCCCAAATTTCATATACGGCAACCCTATCAAAATACGACCTGGAACATGACTAGGTACAAAGACCTCTGTTTTACTGACATGGCATGAGGCGGTCTTTGTTCAGCAGGACTATATTCCAGATCTCCATTCTAGAACCTGTAACAGAGACCTGGAACAGAAACCTGCTCAACAGAGACCTGGAACAGAAACCTGCTTACCAGAGACCTGGAACAGAAACCTGCTCAACAGAGACCTG